ATTCTCACCCCATAGGCTGCTGGGAAACAGGAGCGAGGTAAGCGACAGAAAGAAACCTTTGGATTTCAGCGATTCCAGAACCTGGCCTGATAAAGCATGCACAGGCCTAATTGCATTACATAACTTAACCCTCCTCCATTACCTCGAGGTACCACACCAAAACCTACTTAACCTTCTCGGTACCTGTAGGGGCGACAGGCCCCGCCCCTGATTCTAAACTAGCCAATCCAAAACGCCAGAATCGGTAGCGCGGTGTCTTCTGGGATCTGTAGGCTCCCGAGGTTATTTTTTCCTCCAGTTTATGACTACAATTCCCGGCGGCCACCGGGCTCCAAGGTCGGCCCTCTTTTTGGGGGCGGACTGCAGAGCGAACCGGGGGGCGGGTCCTCGCCCCTCCCCAACGTGGCCAGTAGGGGTGCGGGTGATGCCCGCTGGCGATTACCACGTGTTGCGGTGATTCCGGGCTGTCGTCTTTAGACCTCCCTGACTTCCCCGGCCTGTGGGCCCGCTGCTTGCAGAGATGCCGAAGATCAAGTCAGGGGCGAGCGGCCGCCGGCTCCAGCGTCAACAACAGCGCCGGGAGCTGAAGAGTGCCGGAGGTGGGGACAGCCGGGAGGGAGCTGGGGTGAGGTCGGGTCCAGACTTCCCGCCGGACCCAGCCTGGGCCGCGCGCGGGCCGCGATCTGGGCCGGGAGCGTGAGACCCGGCGGGCCCGCGCTTCCGGAGCGCTCAAGTCCCGGGCTTGCCCAGGCGCCGGTCGCAGGCCCCGCGCGCCGCCTGTGGCTTCCTTTTCAGCGAAGGGGTGGACTTACACTATGTCAGTCCCGGCTCCGAGCGTGACGTTTGGTGCCTCTCGTAGGCGTAGAAATCGTCCCCCAACTATCCTTTCTTCTCTGGGATGGTCTGATACCTGGTTTTAGTTGGGAAATTAAGGCTGTTTTCATGTTCTCTTCCAGGACTCATGTTCAACACGGGGATTGGGCAGCACATTTTGAAAAATCCTCTCATTGTTAACAGCATTATCGATAAGGTGGGTGTGGAAGAGTAGAGAGAATTGTTGGGTTATTGGTTTTATTCTTAGGAATACCTAAGCAGAGAAAGGATGGCTGACATCAAATAGATGCTGTATAAATACTTGTTGAATGAATTGAAGAATTGTGTAGGAGTCAAAAGCTGTCTTCGGTATGATTTGCTTCATTCTGTGGGTCTTGGTTTCTCCTGGCTCCGGATTCTTTTGTCCTTCGGTAGACAGTTACTTCTTAGCTTGACATGTCTGCTTGTTCAATTCCAGATTATTATTCTTCTATTCCCAGTCACTTTTTATGGGCGCCATTTATCAGAGTTTTTTATTTACTCTAGAGCCTCCAAATATGTCTAAACAGACATCTTAGTAAAGTTTGTTTCCTAGAGAAACTTGTGTGGTACAAGCCGGTGCCACATGTAAACTCTGGAGTGTTCTGTGTAGGTTATTGACATTCTTTTATTGTTCTGGATGATTAGGGTGCTAGGACATGAAACAGGTGGTGCTCATTACTTTCATGGCTGCTAAGAAAGCATCCTGGGGCTGTAGAAAGAGCATTGCATAGTTAAGGGATCTCATCTTGACCGAGTGTTATTTGCAAAATGAGGGTTGGGCTAGCTTTTTAACCTTTGGGTTCATGGATTCCTTTGAGCATCTGATGAGAGGTATGGACTCAGAATACTGCAGCTGTGTGCATGCAAACACCCAGTTTTATGTACAATTTCTGGATACTCCTGCATCCCTGAAACCATACATGGATGTAGAATTAAGAAATCCTGGTACATACAACGTACTATGATTCTCAGGCAAGATCACAATCTTTACCTTTCTAGTCTGAACTTGGTGATAACAGTTGGTAACAAGATGCTGTTACAATCATTTTGAAGGTAGAAAGCAGAATACCACTCAGAAAGAACTGCTATTCCTGCTTTCCTGACTCCTAAATTTTATGACTGTTAACTATTGTCCCAGGTTAGGAAAGATATTAGATTTTCAGATGCACCTTTGCCGAGATAATTTTGTTAAGCACATAGATCATGAAGAGATCTCCTAAAAATGAAGTCAGAGTAAGATCTTCTAACTGAGCATTTTTGAACAGAAATATTCAGATGTAAATGAAATGGTGTGTTCAGATGTGCCTGTAAAGCTGAAGTGTGCTTGC